GGTCGAAGGCGGGGACGGCGACGGCGGCGGTGAGGTCGGCGGGGAGGAGGGCTGCGGAGGGGGCGGAGGCGCTGAGGGCATCGGGAGGTGCGGCGGCGCTGAGGACGGGGGGGGCGGGACAGGCGTTGTGGGCCACGGGAGGGACTGCAGCGGAGAGGGCAGCGGGTTGAGCGGCGGAGGTGGGGGAGTGACGGAAGGCGGCGGCGTTGAGGGTGGTGGGGTGGCGGGCGGGGGTGGGGATGTCGGGGAAAGCGGGGGCGGTGAGGGTGGCGGTGAGGACGGTGGCGTTGGGGGCCACGGGGGCGGCGGCGGTGGGGGCAGCAAGAGGTGGGCCGGCGTTGGGAGTTGAGGGGGAGGTGGCGGCGTAGGCGGTGGGGCGAGGGGAGGCGGAGGGGGCATCGTGAGAGGTGGCGGCGGTGGGGGCGGTGAGGAAGGCGACGGCGGTGAGGGAGGCGTCAGCGGTGAGGATGTCGGTGGCGGTGAGAATGTTGGAGAGGCGGGCGGCGATGGTGGGGGCGGCGCCGAGGGCTTCGGCGGGGAGGGCGAGGCAGAGAGCAAGGGTGGCGAGGGCGGTGCGGCGGGCGGAGGCAGTGTGGGCGGTGGGTAGGGCGTCGGTGGTGCGGGCGGCGGCGGCGGTGAGGTCGTCAGGGGGGGCGTCGATGGCGAGGGTGGTGAGGAGACTGGGCGAGGCAAGGACATTCATGACCTCCGACACGTCGATCATAAATTTCTGGAAGGCGGCCGCTATATAGTCGACCAAAGCCGCCATGTTCGATTTCATGCCCGCCGAGTAGCCAAATGCGACCAGGCCACGACCAGCCGCCCTCGGACCCGGGTTCGAGCCGCGTCTGGGGATTTCAGAAGTCTCGCTCCCCACCAGCTTTTTGTTTTCGGCCTTTACATATGTAAAGGAACGCCGTTTAGGGGTTAACCTCACATCCAGGGCCGGGGAGCTAAGTAAGAAGCGCACCCAGCGGGCCAGATGATCGGGATCGGGATCGCAGGGAAAGGGCCGTAAAGTAAAAAAATAAATATTCTTATCTTTTTGCCCCCCTCCGAGACTAGGGACAGAACCACACCAGTATCGAGTGGCCTCCGGTTCGAGCTCGGCAAGTCGACCCTCGTATATATTTTTTTCACACCTCAGCGGGCTCAATTTTGCTCTATAGGTGCCTCCTACGGATTCGAACCCGCCCCCCTGGCTGGTCCATCGCGAACCCACTATGATTATCGGAAGCTCTCCTCCAGCAGCAGAGATGTGGGTGTGCTGTCTTCCGACAAATCAAGCAGCCCGACCGCCGCGAAGCGGGATGATAGCGAGAGGTGTACTCCGCGAGGTTGAGCGCTGCACGCGGTACTCGGCGGTGTCGCAGCGTCGAGCAACACTCGGTGTCAGAAAGTCGCGCCAAATCAGTAGCCTCATCGCCGAGTGATTGCTGGCCTGTGGCGTTGACCTCGCGCGGATATCACCAACAACGAGCATGCGAAGATAGGGAACCATGTCTGATGGACTTGTACCGCCCGCTGTGCTCTCCGCTGTGCCACAGCTGCGAGAGCCGTATCTTCCCTCCTTGAAGCAGAGGCGCCGCGAGGCACGAGAGGCGTAGAAGAGAGGCTGGCGTGCCCCGCACCGCCCGGCTGGCAGTAGCGGCGGCGTCCAGCGCGGCGGTGCCGCACCGGATCGCGATGCAGCTGCTGCTGTGGGCGCGGCAGCACTTCAGCAACGTCGGCAACATCGTCGACATCTCCATCGCGCAGGGGCGGGTGGTTGTGGTGGGCGACACGCACGGGCAGCTGGCAGACTTTTGCTGGCTGCTCCGCTCGCACGGGCCGCCAACCCTCGAGAACGTCTACCTGATCAACGGCGACGTGGACGTCTTCAACCTGCTGCCGCTCGCCACGCGAGTCAACTCGGAGGTCCTCGTCCACACATCTCCCCACACCTCCCCACACCTCCCCACATCTCCCCACGTCTCCCCACATCTCCCCACATCTCCCCACGTCTCCCCACATCTCCCCACATCTCCCCACACCTCCCCACACCTCCCCACATCTCCCCACGTCTCCCCACGTCTCCCCGCATCTCCCCACATCGCCCCACGTCCCCGCGTCTCCCCACATCTCCCCAACTCAGGTCCTCGTCCTGCACGGCGGCCTCTCCCGAACCAACTCGGCCACGCTCGCCCAGATCTCCGCAATTGACCGGCGGCGGCCGATCCCCGTCGCGCCCGTCAACGCCGAGGACATGCTCTTCTTCGATTTGATGTGGGCGGACCCGCGCGCCGTCGACGGCGTCGGCCTCTCCGCAGTGCGCGGGGCCGGCTGCGCCACCTTCGGACCCGACATCACGCGCCGTTTCTGCGAGATCAACCGGCTACGGATGGTCATACGCTCGCACGAGGTGCCAAAGTCGCTCTCGGGCGTGCAGGTGTGACCAGCGGCTCCGCACATCTCCCCACATCTCGCCACATCTCGCCACATCTCCCCACATCTCCCCACATCTCCCCACATCTCCCCACATCTCCCCACATCTCCCCACACCTCCCCACACCTCCCCACACCTCCCCACACCTCCCCACATCTCCCCGCAGGTGCAGCACGCCGGGCGACTCGTCACCATCTTCTCCGCCTCAAGCTGTACATCGCGCAGCAGGAGGGCCGCTCCACCGTCGAGACCATGATGGCTTCTACGAGCGGCAGTGCCCCTTCACGCCGGCGCTGGCGGAGCTGCTCGACGGCATGCTGCAGATCAACCCGCGCCGCCGCATCTCGATGAGCAGGGTGGCCCAGTCGCCTTGGCTCTGCCCTTCGCCCGTGCCGCAGCTAACCTCGACACCACGCTGACGTCGAGCACAATCTCGTGGAGCCCGGGCACCGCCCACCGCTCGATGGAGGAGGACGACACTTAGCTGGGTCACAAAAGTCAAAAGACAAAACCTCGCGGGTGGTTTGTTTTGGTGCCTGTGTGTTTCGTTTCATGATCGGTTTTCAATCGTTTTCAATCAATGCGGGGCCCTCCAGGTAAGTTACTACCCCTTATATATAAAATTGTGTCCGCGGCGCCAGGCATCCGCGGGGGGCAAGGCGGTAAAGGTGCCCAGCTCCACGGAGCGCAGATGTACCCTCCCCATCATGCACAGTGTAATCACAGTGAGAGTTGCATCGGGATCGGCTCGGCTTATGGGATGTTCGGTCGAACCTCAACGACGCGGAATGTGTGCTCGCCGACCTCGATCGTCTCCTCCCGGCCCGTCGGCTGCAAGTAAGTGAGCGGCGGATACAATACCTGTGGGTTAGGTTGGCATCGGGTTAGGGGTGCGGTTGGGGTGAGCAGCAGGATGGCAGGGCAAGGAGCACCTCCTCTTCGGCGGGGAAGGCCGAGGCCCACTTGAGCTCGGCGCCGTACTGCAGAAAGTTGTCAACGGCGAACTTGAAGACGAGGTTGTTGGCCGAGGCACCGCCCTCGGTTGCGTAGCGTAGCGATACCTTCAGGTCCTTGGTGACCGATCCGAAGGCCAGCTCGGTGCCACCCTGCCGGCCGCTCATAAAGGCACCGCGCATCGAGACGTTGCGCATGCCGCGCCACAGCACCGTCTCAGACGTCGCTGTCTCCTTGTGCTGCACCGCGTAGGCCGAGCGCAGCTTCTTGATGCCCTCGTTGATGTACGCGGCCGTAAGGGGTAGCGGGTGGGGCTTTTGGACCTGGTAGTAGTCGCTCTGGTGCCGCAGCGGCGAGTTCAGGTACTTGAAGGCGGACGTGGTGTACAACCGCAGCGCCGCCACCTGCGAGCGCGTGAGCTCGGCGTCGACAGCATTCTGATGCGCGACAAAGTCGTCGAGCACCATGCCGATGCCATCGTCCGTGGTGCGCTCGTCGAGGCGGCCGCTGGGGCCACAATCGCGCGGGTGCTCAGAGTTGGGAAAGATTGTGGACGATGAGCCTGCCTCCGCCCGAAGGATGTACTCGAGGTTGCCCAGGAGGTCCTCCTCGACGCGCTGCGCGATCTCGAGCGGCGTGAGAACCTTGTCGCCGTCAACTGGCCGCCACGCGACGCGACGAAGGTAGCTGACTTCCTCATTTGCGACCTCCTCGGCACTCAGCGAGCGGCTACCGACGGTGAGGGGGCCGCGTGCAACGGCGATGGCACTGCGCTGCTCCGCGGTTGCATTGGCGAGCAGCGTGACGAGCACGGCGTGCTCCTTGGTCCGGTCGACAAAGCCACGGATCTCCGCCTCGAGCCGCGAGGTATCGGCCTCGGAGAATGGATCCTTGACACACATGAAATGGTACAACCCCTTGGCCGCGTTTGTCGCCTCGCCGGAGATGAGCTCGAAAGGCTTGCCGGCGGCACCCGCGCCCGCCTCGTTGAGCACCTCTGCAAACAGGCCGCGCAGGTGCTCGTCAACTAGCCGCTCCTCACGCAGCGCCTCGCGCTTCACCGACTCGATGTGAGATTGCGCCGCACTGAAGTTGGTGTCCTCGATGTACCACTCCGCCGGGTTGGCCTCGAGGTACTCTGTGATTCGCCGATCCGCGCTGCCAGCGTCCTTTTCAGCAACGACCGCGTCGCGACCGCGCTCTACAAGCGCGCTGCGCACCTGCTGGCGCACACTGGCGCCCATGTCGGTGAGCAGCTTCTTGCGCGTGCCCAAAACCTGCTCGAGCGTGGGCGTGGCCATGTTGATGGAGAAGTTGCAGTCGACGACGAGCGTGCTGCCCTCCACGCGCGTCGAGCGCACCTGCAGGTGTGTCGGGAAGGGGGAGGAGGCGATGAGCATGTCGAGGACTGAGAAAGGGGGGGGGGGGGGGGGGGGGGCTGAAGGAGGGGGCCTGCAAGCCCATCAGCGGCGGCAGCTGCGTCTCCCTCTCGTGCGGGTACTGCGAGAGCCACGAGAAGTCGGCGCCGCGGTCGATCATGCCCATCCCGAGCTTGAGCACCACCGTCGCCTTGCCCTCCGCGTAGTGCACCGCCTGCGCGCGGTCGGTGGTGGTCGACGAGAAGCCGTACTCGACGCCACCGCGGAAGCCGAGCGCGTCCGGCTTGAAGAAGGCTTCCGGGAGCGTGGCGCCCGCCCAGCCGCGGTAGAGCGGCGTGATCCTGGTCAGCGGCGACAGCTTGACGATGATCGAGTTGATCGCGTGGATGGTGGTCGAGTACTGGTTGTGCCACGTCCAGCGCACCGCGGCCTCTCCCTTGCCCGCCGCCGTCGCAGCCCACTCGCCGAGGTGAAGCCAGCCGCACTTCTTCTGCAGAAAGGGCACCTCCTCCATCGAGGCGTACTCCAGCAGCACAGCGCCGTCGCGATCGCGCGCTGAGTTGAAGCGAAGGACGCCGTTGTACTTCTCGTACATCGGCCCCGTGTACATCCGGGCGGCGACGAGCTCCTCCTTGATGAGCGGCGCCTGCCCCGCCTCAACGAGCCTCGGGTTCATCTCGTCCGCCATCTTCTTCTCGTAGACCAAGAGCGGCTCCGGCTTGCGGCACCACTCGGGGTGGAGCGTGCGGAAGCCGCCGCCGCGCTCCGCGTAGCGGCCGTCCTCGACGACGGGCGCGACGACGAACTCCCACTCCATCCGGGAGGTCGCGTCCTCGATGCCGTTGGAAGTGTCGAACGGCACGTCCGCATCCTTCTCGTCGCAGTGCTCCATCTCCATGGCCTTCAAGTGCGAGCCGTCCACTATAAGCGGCGGCCCGATGAGCTTCTCGAGGCCTGCTCACAGGGCAGGGGACGGGGGTCGCTGGTGAGAGTGAGCGGGTAGGATAGGCAAGCTCCTGGCGTGCAGCACGCCTCCGTAGAACACCTCGACGCCGCCGAAGCCCATCTCATCCTTGAACGCGTCGCCCTCCGCGGCGAACTTGGCGTTCAGCGCCGCCCCGGTCGCTGCGCTCTGGTCGCGCAGCTTCTCAATGGCGGACCAGAGGGTCTCGGCGATCGACTCACTCAGCTTCACCGCCCCGAGCTTGCTCTCGAGGTCGGCGAGCGAGAGGCTGAGCACGTACTTGAACGGATCGGTGCCGGGCGGCTCCTTCAGCGCCTCGGCCACCACCTCGGTGAGGGCGAGGGAGTTCACCCAGCCGGCGACGCCCCACTCCGCTGCGGGCTCTGCGTCGACCTGGGAAGAGTGGAGAGAGGGAGGGGGTAAGGCAGCGGGGAGGGTGGTGCGGCGGCGGGAAATGAGGGAGGCAGACGCGGACGCGGCGGCAGCAGCGGATGCGGCGGCAGTGTGTGCGGGCGGTGGCGGTGGCGAAGGCGGCGGTGCGGGGAATGCGTCGGCCTTGCCGTCGGGCGAAGTGGCGGTGGCGCTCGGCGTGCCGACGTTGTGGAGCTGGTCCTTGAGCGACTGGATCTGTTCCTTGAGCGACTGGATCTCGCCCTGCTTGAGCGACCGGTTCTCGTCCTTGAGTGACTGGTTCTCATCCTTGAGCGACCGGTTCTCGTCGCTGAGCTTGCGCAGCTCCGTCTCGTTGTTCTTGGAGGCGGTGCAACCCACTTGAGCATCTCTTGTACCGGGGAGGGCGCGACCGTGAGTAGGCATCGGGTGGCGCCGGGGCGCGCGAGAGAGAGCCCTACCACAGCGGCAGGGGCGGCAACGCGGAGCGCGTTTAACGGGCGGTGGTAGAGGCGGTGCTGTCGGGTGTCGGGTGGCGAAGGCAGCTGGACGACCTGCTGCGTCGTCCTTGGGACCATCCTCTTGCTCTGCGGCCGCGGCGCCGGAGAGATCAGCCGCTCTCGCTTCCCGAGGCTTCCCCCACGCAAGAGCTCGAGCGCGAATGGAGGTTGCGGTAGCGCCGCTCTTCGGCATCACGTACTACTCCTTGGGCGTCGGCCTCCACAGAGGTGGCGGCAGCAATGTGCTCAAAGCGGCTCTGCTCAACAGCGGCTCTGCTCAACAGCGGCTCTGCTCAACAGCGGCTCGATTCTCTGGGCCAGCGCGGATTTATGGGTGGGCTGTCATCGAGAAGAAATATGAAATTTTTAACGTTTTTATTTTGGATAAATTTCAGATTACCCGGTTTTTGAGATTCGCCTCGCAGATCACCCGGCGTTTTTCAGATCACCCGGCGTCTGCGAGTTTTTGCCTCGCAGATCACCCAACACGGCGAAATGTCGTTTCCAGATTACCCAACACGGCGAAATGTCGTTTCCAGGTTACCCGGTCACGAAATTTCTTTTTCCAGATCACCCGGTTTTGAGCTTCGCCTCGCAGATCACCCGGCGTTTTCCAGATCACCCGGCGTGAGCGGTTTCAGATCACCCGGTGCGGCAAAATGTCGTTTCCAGATTACCCAACACGGCGAAATGTCGTTTCCAGGTTACCCAACACGGCGAAATGTCGTTTCCAGGTTACACGGAAGGTGAAATTTCTTTTTCCAGATCACCCGGTAGTGGGATGCGCCGGGTAAAATCTGAAACCGTTTGGGATTCACGACTGCGTCATTCAAGCAAACGAGGCCGGGGATTCCGAGTGGGAGCTCTCCTTGAGCACTTGAGCACCGGATAGGGTCGATTCCGCATGGTACGGGACCCCTTAGGACCAAGTGCCGCAGGTGCTCGCTCTCTGGACGAGGTGCACGCTCGCGTCCGGGTAAGCTGAAACGAGAAATTTGCGCGCCCCCGGGTAATCTCAAAGAGAAAAGTTAGCCGCCGGGTAATCTGGACGAGAAATTTGGCCGACCGGGTAATCTGACATGAGAAAAGTTAGCGGCCGGGGAAAGTCCAATATCTTGGAGAATCTGACCAGTCGCAAGGCTCATGTAGCTCCAAAGGATGATTTCCCCCTCGAAAATGCTGCGAAATGAGGCGTAAAATCAAGGGCCCCGAGGGTCTGACCACGAGTCTCTGGGGGGGTCCTCGGCCACGACCCCCCCCCTAGCATGTGGTGAAGGTGCTGGGGGGGGCGGGACCCCCCCCCTAGCATGTGGTGAAGCCTCTGGGGGGGGTCGGACCCCCCCCCTAGCATGTGGTGTGAGCAGAAGCACGCCCCCCTCCCTGGAAGCGATGTCCGCCTGCTCAGGGTGTAGAGGATGTAGAGTGTAGAGCGCTGTAGAGCTGTAGAGATGTAGAGCGCTGTAGAGCTGTAGAGCTCTACATCCGCCGCGGGACGAAGTGCCTGCGTTGTAGAGCGATGTAGAGCGCGATTTTGCTGCAGAGTTTGTTGTAGAGGCTCTACAGCCAAACCGTCGGGAAGGCAGTGACTCAAAGAGGTCGAGTCGCACTAATGGGGTGTCTCCGAGCTTGCTGGAGCTCTAATGGACGGCCCTGACTATCCCTGACACACAGAGAGTCACTCTGACGACACACAACACCCTATAATTGCGTCATGACCAGCCTGCCATGCGTCGCCAGTGCCGCATTCATCGCTGTGCTTCTTTAGCAGGCGGTGGACTGTCGGCTGCGAGGACGGTCGCATTTGCGCGAGGCGAGGCGAGCATTCAGACGCGTTGCATACGCCATGCCTCGCGCCAGCGCGTGCGGGAGCTCCTGGCTGAGCGTTGAGTCCAGGCGAGTTGCGCTGGCCACTATCGCTACGCCGACCCGAGCTGACGCGCCGAGGCGCCGGCCAGTCGCAGCCGTGAGGCATGCCACAGCAGCAGAGGCACCTCCCACCCATTGGGCGGGCAGACAGAAGGCCAGGGCAGCACTGGCAAGTGCAACGCGCCTCATGTCGGAGAGCGACCGTGCCTCGTTCGCCGTTTATGATGTAGAGTTTGTTGTAGAGATTTCACGTTGTAGAGCGCCTCTACATCGCTCTACAACGCAGGCACTTCGTCCCGCAGCGGATGTAGAGCTCTACAGCTCTAGAGCGCTCTAGAGCGCTCTACATCTCTACAGCTCTACAGCGCTCTACACTCTACATCCTCTACACCCTCCCTCAGTCTGCAGAGAGAGTGGGACATAAAAGAGAGCGAGTACTTGGGCGAGTAGGCCGTGCGGTCGACGCTGCCGCGCGCGACTTTGCGCGCGAGGCGGCGCAGCTTGAGAACGGCGGTGGGCGGAAGCCGCCGCCGAACGTCTCGTGGACGTGTGGTATTGCTAAAAATCTCTCGTTTTTTTGTTTAAATGAACTCGGGGGCACGGGGAAAAGAAAGAAAAGAAAACACAAACTCAACGGTGCAACGGAGGGATGGGAAAGAAAGAAAGAAAGAAAAACACAGTGAAACGTTTCTTTTCTGATTCTTGCTGCCGGCGCTTGGTTCCGCGGCGGCTTCGGTGCGTCGCCGTTCCCCGCACCGGATTGAGGGCGCCGCCGCGGGTATGGTCAACTCCTGCGGCGAGGATCCTGCGGCCGCAGGAGTTGGAGTTGACGGTGGCGGCAGCGGTTGCCCCGGCTCAAGCGCCACCGCCGTCAGCACTGCCGCAGCGCAGCAGCTCGCCGCGCAGGAGGACTTGCTTGAGCTACCTCCTGGCTCTCTGCGGACGCCGCGTGGCGCACCGGTCGAGTTTGCGAGGCTCAAGGACCTGAGGTGCGCGCCGCACCAAGCCGACAGCCCGCCTCTGCCAACCGCGAGAGGCCGCCAACCCTCCTCCGCGCCTCGGCCTCATCGCCTCGTGCCGTGCCGTGCTTCCATAGGGAGAAGGGGGCGGGCGAGTTCTGCAAGGTGTGCGAGGGGAGCCTCGATGTCGATGGCGCCGACTCGCGCCCTCTCCGCGCCACCGAGACGCTCTACCGGATCACCAGCGCCGTGTGTGAGTAGGGACGGGGTTGCGCCGAGTCGCCGTTAAGATGCTCAAGCCAAAGTACGAGGTGAGCGTGCTCCTGTGCACCCCCCCCCCCCCTCACGGCCACTACCGCCACCGCCAAAGCCCTCCCTCCGCTCGCCGCCCCACTCTCCCTCTCCCGCTCGCTCGCCGCTGCCCCCGCCCTCACCTCCGAGAACAAGTAGACGACACAACAGCGCGCTCGCCTCTGAAAATGCCGCCGCCTCTGCAGGCGTCGGTGGTGCCACTCGGCGACCTTCGGCGGGAGATCTCGCTCCTGTCTCAGATGTCGCACCCGCACATCGTCGGCTTCGTCGCCCACGGCGCCTCCCCCGTCACCTCGCGATATCTCCCTCCCTCCCTCCCTCCCTCCCTCCCTCCCTCCCTCCCTCCCTCCCTCCCTCCCTCCCTCCCTCCCTCCCTCCCTCTCTCGGAGCCTCTCGGAGCCTCTCGGCACGCCTCCGTCCCTCCGCCCCGCCCCTTCCTCCCCCGACCGCGCGCCGCGCCATCCCCGCCGCCGTCGGCCTCACACCAGGTCTCCTCGGCGCTCTCTGCCGTAGGTTGCGCGCCGGACCGCGGAGTGCCGTTTGGCTGC